ACTAATATTTGTAGTGCAAGATATACCTTAATACCAAATAAATCAATGGGATATTGGTCCATCTGGAGTTTTAATAAGCTCAAAAAATAGAATACTTTGGAAAAATAACATCTATCAGTAGAAGGTACACTTTATACAATATAGTTTGTACATTTCCAAAGAATTCCTTCTTTACTCAGTGCACATTACCAAACAGATGTAAATATTAGAAGGAAAGGGGAAAACCCCCAAAGTCTTAAATGTTTTTGCTAATTTATCAATTGGGATATTAAAACTATAAATGCAGTTGCTGTATCTCTTTCTTACATTTTGCAGATGCTGTCCTCTACAGAACCTCAGAACCAAAGCATAACTACATTTCTTATTTTAGGCTTCCCTAATACGAGGAAGGTAGAAATTGCTCTCTTTTTTGTCTTTCTCACTATGTACCTCCTTATTGTGACTGGTAATATCATCATCATCATAACTGTTAATACAGATAACCATCTTCAAACCCCTATGTACTTCTTTTTAGGAAATCTATCTTTACTGGATATAGGGTATACTTCCTCCACTGTTCCTAATTTGCTTTCCATATTATTGATGAATGTGCATACAATTTCCTTGGTAGGCTGCATTTCACAGTCTTATTTTTTCTTTTTCCTTGGGTCAGCTGAATGTTTCCTCCTTGCAGTAATGGCCTATGACCGGTACATAGCCATATGCTACCCACTCAGATATCCAACAATCATGAATAGAAGAATATGTGTTATTTTTGTGATTATTTGCTGGATAAGTGGTTGCCTATCTCCTTTGGTAGCTGCTCTTATGTTAATAAACTTACCATTTTGTGGACCAAAGGTAATTAATCATTTCTTTTGTGATATTCCACCATTATTGAAATTGGCTTGCATAGATACATCACAAATACAGCAGATTGTTTTTCTACTTTCAGCAATGGTGATTCTGAGTACTTTTCTCTGCACCATTATTTCTTATATTTATATTGGTATAACTATATTGAAAATACCATCTTCACATGGTCGTCACAAGGCTTTCTCCACTTGTGCCTCTCATCTGACTGTTGTTTCATTATATTATGGAACTGTTATTTTTATGTATGTAAGTCCAACCACCCGTTCATCCTTTGACCTGAACAAAGTAATAGCTGTGATATACAGTGTGGTTACTCCAATGCTCAACCCAATGATTTACACATTGAGGAACCAAGATATGAAAACAGCCTTGACAAGAATAATCTTCAGAATAAGGATCAGAAAGAAAGAACTTGATTTATCCAAGGAATTCCATCTATAAGCACATCTTGTTGGAAGTAAAAAAAAATGATTTGGTCTTTAATCTAAAGGTTATCAAATTGATTTATTTCTAAACTATTGTGCATATTATTATTTTATTTTGTCTGAAAATATGTTTGCCTTCAAATTCTTTTTATATATGTTGATTTTTTTGTCTGGAAAATTTGTTGTGATATCCAAGGATAGGGTAAACTGATTCAAAATTATATTACTTGGGTCATCAGATTAGAAAAATAGAAAAAAATATATTCAGAAACCACTTCAGAAATTGGGTAATTTGATTAAAGCCTCACTTTAAAGTTTTTAGAGAGTTTTAAATACTTCAAAACTCCCCAAAACACATCAGAAGTTTTATTTGTGAAATATGTTTTCTCTAAAATGAGCTACATCAGAGAATACTTATGATAACCAGTTTAAAAGGAAAAGAGTTCAGTACTACCTGAGGTGCTAATTTTCAATCATAGAGACAGAAAAATATATAGATGTTTTTACCATGGATGAGAACCATATGACCATCCCAATGAGGCTAAATTGAATGTATAATGTTCAAGATGTTTGCTGTATAAATAATGCCTACATGGTTGGCTCAAGTCAGCACATGAAAACATACGTAAAAATATAGTTTTAAGGACCACATTTGAAGGGGTTTCAGAGTTATTGGCTAAAATCTTTAAGACATTTTAATTGGTTCTATGATAAAAAATTTAGGAAGATAACATCACAATTCTTCTTCCTGATTTAGGTGTAGACAGTTTGCTGATTTAGGTGCAGAATGTCAAGGTCCTCAAATAAATAATTTTAGTTTCTAGAATAGCAATATAAGAAACAGGAATATTGTATCTTGAAAAATAGATCCTGTTCTCTTGACAATCAAACGTTTTTGATAATGCTATCCACTATACAATCTGAGCAACTGCCTGGATCAACATTTTATTTCAACAGCTCAGTCTTCATTTTATAGTGTCATTGCTTTGTAGGATTACTCAACTCTGCCCTATCAAATAATGCTGGTTAAAATGAAGGAACTGAATTTTTTGCAGTCTTTAGGGGAATGTAAAGGATACTGCAATGTAACATTAATAAAAGGAAAAACACCAAATGCAAAATAATAATAATAATAATAATAATAATAATAATAATAATAATAATAATAATAATAATAATAATAATAAACAACTAAGAGGATTTTTCAAATATCCAATATGCCCATAAAATAAACTCAAGATATTCATAAAGAAGACAATTATCAGTACTATGTAAGATAAAAAAACAAAACAAATCAAGAAATGTCATATTTAAAGAGCAAATGGAAACTACTGAAAGTAGAAAGGAAGCAAATTTAACTAGTTCAAGACATTCCATCCAAAATATTATGGACGCAAAAAAAAAGCCTGCTCTGTCTTGAGCAAACAAAAAGACATCTTGCAACTTACAGAATGATTTTTTAGCCTTTCGCTGAAAAACCTGTCCCAAATTGTATTTTTTTTTAATACTTTCAGTACAAATATCAACTGGCTTTACAAAGCATACCCACTTCATTATTATTTTTATCAGGAAGTATGTGTACTAATGTATAATAATAATAAATATTAAAATGCTATCAAAAATAAAACATTTTGAATCAACAAAACTTTAATGTCGATGTTACTAAAGTAATATTGGTTTTAGACTCCTGATCAATGCATATTCAGTAGAGTTTAATTATTGGCTGGTGTCATTGTCATTGGGGAATGTGACATACTTGTTACTAAACTACTTTTTCTAAAGTTTGTTTAAAATATATATTTCTTCTTACTTAATCTAAATTAAAGCCCAAGAGATTGATAATCTCCACAGAGATGTTATTGTAGCTAATTCCATTTAGCCTCAGTGCCAGTGCTCACTTTCTTTGGCCAGAAAAAGAAAAGTAATCTTTCCTTCCAGAAATTCTGTCATCTCTCATTTAACTGCTGAACTCATTAAGAAGTAACTTCATTAAAATGTGTCTGTTTATAAGTATTATGCTCATATTTCATAATGCAGCATTTCTTCAAACTTCAAATCAGCCCTCAACAACCCCCAAAAGATCTTTTTAAGTTTATGAGGTAAGATTTTGAGTTTCCATTTTCAGGGAACTTAATATAGAGTGAATATTTGACATCTCATATTAAATACAAGGGGGGAAATGTAGTGAAAGGGGAATATATTTTCTTTTTTTGTTTGCTTCACTTCCTTCACTCCATGGAAAGTCCTCCTTCCTTCAAAACAGTAAAATTTGAAATGCTTTAAACATATTTAAATCAATGGGCTGTCAGTTCATTTGACAATTTATTAATGATTGCAAAAAAGAATTACAACAGTTTGTACAAAACTGAACAGAATAGATCAGCAGAGAATGGAATGGAATGGGTCAGAACAAAAAAGAACAGAACAGAAAAGTAATACTAATAATAATAAAGTTGGAAGGAACCTTGGAGGTCTTCCAGTCCAACCCCCTGCTCAGGCAATAAACCCTATACCTTTTCAGACAAGTGGTCATCCAGTCTCTTCTTAAAAACTTCCAGTGTTGGTACATTCAAAACTTCTGGAGGCAGGCTGTTCCACTGATTAACTGTCAGGAAATCTCTCCTTAATTATAGGTTGCTTCTCTCCTTGATTAGTTTCCATCCATTGTTTCTTGTCCTGCCTTAAGGTTCTTTGGAGAATAGCTTGACTCCCTTTTCTTTGTGGCAACCCCTGAGATATTGGAACACTGCCATCATGTCACCCTAGTCCTTCTTTCATTAAATTAGACAGACCCAATTCCAGCAACCATTCTTTACATGTTTTACCCTCCAGTCCTCTGATCATCTTTGTTGCTCTGTTCTGTACTCTTTCTAGAGTCTCAATATCTTTTTTACATCATGGTGACCAAAACTGGATGCAGTATTCCAAGTGTGGCCTTACCAAGGCATTATAAAATGGTATTAACACTTCACGTGATCTTGATTCTATCCCTCTGTTAATGCAGCCTAGAACTGTGTTGGCTTTTTTTGGCAGATATAGCACATTGCTGGCTCATATTTAAGTGATTGTCCATTAGGATCCCAAGATCCCTCTCACAGTTACTATTATTGAGCAGGGTACCACCTATACTGTACCTATGCATTTGGTTTTTTGCATTTGCCTAAATGTAGAACCTTACTTTTTTCATGATTGAATTTCATTTTGTTACATAGTGCCCAGTGTTCAAGACTGTTGAAATTCTTCTGCATCTTAAGCCTATTTTCTGGAATGTTGGCTATTCTTGCCAGTTTGGTGTCGTCTGCAAATTTGATGAGTTCCCTATCTATCCCTTCATCTAAATCATTGATGAAGATGTTGAAGAGCACTGGGCCCAAAACAGAGCCCTGGGGCACCTCACTGCACACTTCCCTCCAGGTTTATTTGATGAAGTGTGATTAGACACACAAGGAATTTATCTCCAGTGCAGAAGATGTATATAGAAAATGTATCATTGGAAGATGTATCTGTAATGAATTGCATGGAATGCAATATGTTTGCATACATTTTACACTTTTCCAAACAACTGCTTCTCAGTTCAGTATACTAGGGGAAAATGTAAAAGTCTTGAATGTTGTAGTTAATTTATTAAATAATTAAATGAAATATTAATTGATTAATAATAATATTTTTTTAAATTTAACCACAGTGTTTCTGGCTTATATCTCTTCTTACATTTTGCAGATGCTGTCCTCTACAGAATCTCAGAACCAGAGCATAAATATGTTTCTTATTTTGGGCTTCCCTAATACGAGGAAGGTAGAAATTGCTCTCTTTTTTGTCTTTCTCACTATGTACCTCCTTACTGTGACTGGTAATATCATCATCATCATAACTGTTAATACAGATAACCATCTTCAAACCCCTATGTACTTCTTTTTGGGAAATTTATCATTACTGGATATAGGGTATACTTCTTCAACTGTCCCTAAATTGCTTTCCATACTTTTGATGAATGTGCACCTAATTTCCTTAGTTGGATGCCTTTTGCAATCCTACTTTTTCTTCTTCTTTGGGTCAGCTGAATGTTTCCTCCTTTCAGTGATGGCCTATGACCGATACATGGCCATATGCTACCCACTCAGATATCCAATAATCATGAATAGAAGAATATGCATTGTTTTTGTGATTGTTTGCTGGATAAGTGGCTGTGTAGCTCCTTTGATAGCTGCCATTATGGTAATAAATTTACCATTTTGTGGAACAAACATAATCAATCATTTCTTTTGCGATATTCCACCATTATTAAAACTGGCTTGTATTGATACATCATTGATACAGCAGATTACCTTCTTGCTTTCAGCAATGGTGATTCTGAGTACTTTTCTCTGCACCATTATTTCTTATATTTATATTGGTATAACTATATTGAAAATACCATCTTCACATGGTCGTCATAAGGCTTTTTCCACTTGTGCCTCTCATCTGACTGTTGTTTCATTATATTATGGAACTGTTATTTTTATGTATGTAAGTCCAACCACCCGTTCATCCTTTGACCTGAATAAAGTAATAGCTGTGATATACAGTGTGGTTACTCCAATGCTCAACCCAATGATCTACACATTGCGGAACCAAGATATGAAAACTGCTTTAAAAAGAATGTTCAGAATGCTGATAAATAGGAAAGAATTTGAATTATCTAATTGATTCCATTTGTTGCAAATATTTGTTCTGGAGGAAAATATGCAAGATATATGATTCCTTCCTTCCTTCCTTCCTTCCTTCCTTCCTTCTTTCCTTCCTTCCTTCCTTCCTTCCTTCCTTCCTTCTATAATACCATCTATAATACAATATTTAATTGTATCTTTATTTATCAATATTTCATTCTTCTCACTTAAATCATTCTTGAATAGTCCATCTCATAAATTTTGATTGTAATTAAGTGTTGCTACTTTCATGAATACTACTGTACATTAATGATAAACAAACCTGACTTTCTATACATGACATGGTTATCTAACACTTATCTCTTACACCTTATCATATCATTTCAGCTGATTAATGATTATATTTTATTTAGATTACACTTTGAGAACAAATATTTACATTAATTGTAAAGGGGAATAAGCTGCTAAAACAATTTTGGATTTTTGTTATGAGCAAAGCCAGAAAAAGAACATTTGGTGCACACACAAGCATGCATTGTTGGCCTGGGCAGATCTATTTACTACCCAAACTTGGGAGTACAATTCTGTTACTTTAGAACAGGGGTAGGTAACCTTGGCTCTTTTATGACTTGTAGATTTCAACTCCCAGAATTCCTGAGCCAGGAATTCTGGGAATTGAAGTCCACGAGTCATAAAAGAGCTAAGGTTGCCTACCCCTGCTTTAGAAAATACTTTTTTGCTAGACTGAACAGACACAATATGTAGACAATTCTTATTTTTTATATTATCAGTAAGTTCAAACTCTTTTGTTGTCTTTTAAATTCCAGGATCTGATGTTTTAATCCTGGAGTTCCAAAACTATAAGCCACCGACTTTGAAAATTAAAGACATGTGGAAAAATTGTTTTTATTTAAGATTTCATTGCTGTTTTATTCTACTTTAAATGCACTGTATAAATGGCCTTCATTTAAAGTAGGCAGATTGTAATATGCTAAGCAAAAAAATGCAACCATGTAATAAATATTTTTTACAAAAACAGAAAATGTTGTATTATTAAATAACACAATACTAAACAGAATGAAACTATATTATATTTGCTAAATCAATTTACATGCATCTGGAATACTGAGAATATACATGTGTACTTTGTACATTTTTGAAGGTACATTAACTGGAAAAGCAAAAAAAAATAATTTTAATATCCAAGCCAGGAAAAAAACCAATAATATATGGCCAAATCTTGTTAAACCCATTCATAATGATTAAACATTCTACTAGCAATACTCAGGAATAATAATTTAATACTTATATATCATAATGTACTGTTATATCTACATCATCTCTCTCTCCCTCTCTTTCTCTTTCTGTCTCTCTCTCTCTCTCACACACACACACCTTTATTTCTGTTTAAATATTCAAATGTCATACATTATTTGCAATTTGCATTTTGTTATATGACATTTGAGTATTATTAAAGAAATATTATCTGCAATTTAGCAGTTAGTTAATCACTAAAGTCATCTTTCACAAATTAGTCACTAAAGTGGAAAAGACAATAAAAAGAATTCATTGATTCCAAGTAGAGAATGATTTTAGACGTTTCATCTTCAAATTCATAGCAGTCACTTCTGACTCAATCAATCAATCAGAATAGAGCTGGAAGGGACCTTGGATGTCCTCTAATATAAACCCCTGGTCAAGCAGAAGACCAATACCATTCAAGACAGGTGTCTTTCCAATCTCTTCTTAAAAATCTCCAGTGATGAAAAATCTACAACTTCTGAAGGCAAGGTTAATTGATTAATTGTCCTCACTGTTAATTTTCTTCACTGTTGGGAAGTTTCTCCTTAGTTCCAGATTGCTTCTCTCCTTGGTTAGTTTCCACCCATTGTTTCTTGTCCTGCCATCCCACATGCTTTGGTAAATAAGATGAACCCCTCCTCTTTGTGGCAATTTCTCAAATACTGGAATATTGCTATCCTGTCATCCCTAGTCCTTCTTTTCTCTAGACTAACCAAACCCAAATCCTGCAACCGTTCTTCATATATTTTAGTTTCCTGGCCTCTAATCATCTTAGTTCCTTCTCTTTGCACTTTTTCCAAAGTCTCAACATCTTTTTTGTAATGTGGTGACCAAGTGTGCAGTATTCCAAGTGTGCTCTTACTAAGGTTTTATAAAGTGGTACTAATACTTCATGTGATTTTGATTCTATGTCTCCATTTATAAAACCAAAGATTGTATTAGCCTTTTACACATTGCTGGCTTATGTTTAAGTGATCGTCCACCCGGACTCCAAGATCTCTCTCACAGTTACTGTTTTTGAGCCAGATTTCTCCTAATCTGTACTTGTACATTTAGTTTCTCCTGTGAAGTTTAAAACCTTGCTTTTCTCACATTAAATTTCATGTTGTTGGATAGGGCCCATTGTTCAACTCTGTCAAGATCTTTTTGGATCCTGAGCTTGTTTTCTGGGGTGTTGGCTATTCCTGCCAGCTTAGAATTCCCTTTTTATTCCCTCATCTATGTCAATTATGAAGATATTGAAGAGTAATGGGCCTAAGAAGGAATCATATGGCACCTGACTTCTTATTTCCCTCCATGTAGATGTAGTACCATTAAGGACAACTTGTTGAGTATGGTTTGTCAGCCAGTTATAAAACCATCTGGTAGTGATGCTGCCTATCCCACATTTTTCTAGCTTACCAAGAAGTAGGTTTTGGTCTATTTTGTTGAATGCCTTCCTGAAGTCTAAGTATACTATATGCACAGCATTTTGCTGGTCTACTAATTTAGTCAGTTTGTCAAAGAATGAAGTAAGATTGGTTTGGCATGATCTTTTTTTAAGAAACCCATGTTGGCTTTTAGTTATAACTTTGTTTCTAGATGTTCTCAGATCTGTTTTTCAATTATCTTTTCCAGTATCTTCCCAGGTATTAGGCTGATTGATTTTAGTTTCCTGGGATTGTTTGCTTGTTTTTCCTTTTTTGAAGATGGGAACCATATTAGCTCTCTTCAATCCTCAGATAATTCCCCAGTGTTCCAGGATTTTTGAAAGTTATGGTACAATGGTTCTGAGATAACATTTGCCAGCTCCTTCAGAACTCTGGGATGTAAACAATCAGGTTCCAGTGATTTAGGTTCATCAAGATCAGATATTGTTCTCTAACCATTTTCTTGCTCATTTTAATTTTTATTTCTAGTCTGTCTTTTATGGTTAGGTTTTTGGTAGGTTGGGCTATAGTTTCTTTGTGTGTGAAAAATGATGCAAAGAATGACTTAAGTAGCTCTGCTTTCTCTCTACTGCCTGTTACTTCCTTGTCATCTTCTCTCTTAAGTGGACCTACTGTTTCCTTCTTTGCAGATTCGGGCTATATGCTAGTATTCTGCCTTAGTTATGTATTTCTCTTCCCATTTTTTGTACTTGTCTTTTTTATCTTTCAATTTGCCTACAGAGGGAATAGGTTGACAGATGGCGCCATAGCTACTGCCTTACATTCTGTAGTGAGTCATCTGGAGAAACCTGGAAACTATGTCAGGATGCTTTTCAGGAGAAACCTGGAAACTATGTCAGAAAGCTCAGCTTTCAATATTATTCTCCCGAGCATCCTTATCGAAAAGCTGACTAACTTGGATTTTTTCCCCTCCATCTGTGACTGGATCAAAGACATTCTGAGAGACCGGCCACAAACAGTGAGAGTCGGGTCTGTCACATCCACCTCCCTGAAGCTTTGCACTGACTCGCCACAGGGCTGTGTGCTTAGTCCCTACCTGTACTCACTGTACACACATGATTGTGTATCGTCTGACCCATCCACTCTAATCATTAAGTATTGGGTCTTATTACAGGTGGAGATGAAACAGCGTACAGGGGGAGGTACAAAAACTATCCTCATGGTGTCTAGAAAACAACTTGCACCTGAACATCAGCAAAACAAAGGAGATGGTGTTAGACTTCCAGAAGAAAAGAGAGGAACCTGCCCCACTTTACATCAGAGGGGGCTGTGTGGAGAGAGTTTCCTCCTTTAAATTCCTGGGAGTCTACCTCAGCAAAGACCTTACCTGGAAAATCAACACAACCCAGGTGGCCAGAAAGGCCCAACAGAGACTCCACTTCCTCTTGCAAAAGAACAAAGTGGAACAATGACTGATGACCTTCTTTTACCGGTCCACTATAGAAACCGTCCTCTCACATTGTATTATGGTGTGGTAGGCTGGCTTGACAGCCGTGGATAGAAAGACACTACAGAGGGTGGTGAGCACATCGTGGGCTGTCCCCTGATACCACTAGATGACATCACCAGGGCCTGCTGCCTTAGAAGAGTGAGGAAAATCCTCAAGGACAACTCACACCCTGGTCGGCACTTCTTTACTCTCCTACCATCAAGTAGGAGATATAGAAGCATAGCCAGCCGCACCAACAGGCTGAAGAACAGTTTCTATCCATGGGCTGTTAGACTACTGAATGGGAAATAATTCCATGTATGATAGACCAGCGGGGCCGGTGTGTTGTGCAATAAGTTCACATGGTGTAATAAGGTGGTGGGTTTGTTGTCACTGTGAGTTGTGTTGGGAGGATGCACAAAGGGAGGCTCAGCCAATCTCATTGTACACATGTTGCCCTTTGACAATAAAGGTTGATTTTGATTTGATTTGAGATCTTTGTGCAACCATGCTGGTTTCTTCTTGGATTTCTTGTTGTTCAATGGTATTCAGTGGTATTGTGCTGGACTGGGCTTTTATGATCATATTTTTCAGAATTCCCCATGCTTCTTGAGTTGTTTTCCCCTTTAGGATTTTCATCCATGGAATTTTTCCAGCAATTTCAACTTCATCTATTATAAGAATTAGGTTTAGTATAACTTTTCCTCTAGTTTCCTCCTCTACCTTTTGGATGACAAAGTTGTCAGCTAGGTTGGTTAGGAATCAGTTTGATCTCCCACTTGCTACAGAGTTTGTCTCCCAGTTGATGTCAGGGTAGTTAAAGTCTCCCACTACTACTGTGGTGTATTTCCTACATACATTTGTTAGTTGTTTAGCAAA